ATATTTTACAAACTACCACGCGCGATTATTAAAAACAAAAACGTCCAAACACAATGACATATCAGTTATGGGACAATACTTTTTTCGATTTTTATCGATAAAATTAGAGCCGACACTGATTTGTTCGTGATTTGGTTCTTGGTTTAAGATAAACTACGTACTTTCAACTTAATTTACTGAGAGACTTTACAAGGCGAAATTACTTAGTTTGTACTTAATTTATGCGTAAATTAAGATTGACCTCTAAATTACGCCAATGGGAACATAGTTTTATCTCTAAAGAGAGTATTCCGAGATTACTCTCAATCGGGTACAATTGGGCATTAATTAGTCGCAACTGGTCTCATACGGGTACTAATGGAGGTCAATTAGTCTCGACTCATCCCTTATGGGTATAATTGGAGATCAATTAGTCCCCAACTCATCTCTAACGGGTACTATTAACGATTTAATGATATGTACGCTCTTAGTCAATGAAATTTCATGTGCGGCGTTGGCACACAGAGAGAGTATTCGCCTAACAATACGGAGCACCCCGGTTCGAATCTCAGCTGGCGGAAATTTTTATTTTTTAAAAGTGACTAGTCGCTTTTTATACCCTTCCGGGTATAAAGGTGAACAATTAATCTCTTCATAGGACGTGCTCGAACAAAAGCGATCAGTTCATTCCATATAAAGAGATCAAAAGTGGTATTGGTATTGAACTCCATTAGCACCCGTATGAGACTAGTTGCGACTAATTAATGCCCAATTGTACCCGATTGAGTGTAATCTCGGAATACTCTCTTTAGAGATTAGTCGCACAATTTTTTGCAGGGTACAAATGCAAGAATAATAGAATACAAGATTGCGCCAATTGAGATGAGAGCAACTGGGTGTGACGTCACATTATTTTGAGAATGAGAGTATAAAGAATAATTTTGAAGAAGAAGAGGAAGAAGCGACCAAGTGGCGCGAAATAATGATGTAAAACTTGCTTGAATTGTACCTAATCTTCAGCTTCTTAAATTTTAACGTGCATTCGGTACACGCACATTATTTTAGGTACATTTGGAACGTAGTAAAATATTGTTTCATGTAAGTAGAAAAGTTGTTATGGTACAAAGGAAGATGTAGTCCACCAACTACCAAAAATGTATGCACATAAGAATACATGTTTACTATTTAGGTACGTATATCTACTTTTAGGTACAACTTTTCGGCAAATTGGTACAATATGAAAATTTAATATTCATCACTATTGCGAAAAAATAATAATGTGACGTCAGGGAGAGGGTGGATGCTGTCAAATCGAGAAAGAGAGGACTAGCGGTCCGCGGAAGGCGCCACCTTTGTTTCGCTGCATCGTGGTACAAATGCACTAATCGCGCGCTCGTGAGGTTGATTCAAACTCAACATTTGAAAACACATTTACATGTATGGCTGTAGCTGAGTGTGCAAAGATGCTTGATACAATTGGGTTGCTGCCAAATTAAATTTTTTTTTCTTCTTAATTACGAAAAAGCATCTGTGCACTTCACAACGACATAGTTTATAACGTACATACTCAAATTTAAAACGAGTTGGGTTGGTGCTCTTTCATATGCATATTATTTTAAATTTAGCACGTTTTGTTTTAATTCTAAAATTTATTCCCTCAGTGCACATGTAATCATAAGTGGGCGGGGCTACGCCCGTTTTCCAAAAATGTATAATATTTTTTATTTTCTGCAAAAAGGTTTGTGCTTATATCAATTTTGAGTGAATATATTATTGCAGTTTTCGTATTTCCGCTCAAAACCGTTATATGGGAGGTAGGCGCGGTTATTGTCCGATTTTGCCCATTTGTAATGCCACTCGTCCTTGGTTCAAGAAATACACGTACCAAGTTTTGTTGAGATATTCAAATTTTTAGTCGAGTTATCTTGTGCACAGACGGACGGACAGACAGTCACGGCTTAATCGATTTCTCTATTCTACACATTTTGGTATGTATATGTCTATATATATCTCGGTTCCTTAAATCTATTACAAACAACTGTTATGTGAACAAGGTCGTTCGGGTATAAAAAAAAATGTAAATAGCCATATGCGGACGACATAGAGGGGCATCTGAAAACGAGTAACGTCACCGCTGGTGCGCGCAAGCCCATAAGGTTGCATAATCGGAAAACCCTACATTGTGGCGCTTGGTTTGACCGACGGTGCAGTCCAGGCGGAAATCGGGAAGATGAAAGACTTCAAACCCATTAGCCTAGACGGAATTTACAGCGATAGTAGCATATCTCACAGAGGTCCACAATTTGACGATGGCCACTCAAATCATCCCGTAAATGCAGAAAGTAGGCGACGCCTCGAGCCCATGGCTGCCGAACCGAAATGTGTGGCAATTAGTGAAGAGTCCGCAGTAAACGCCGCGAGCGGACCTGTGTGATTCCCAACTGGCACCAGATAATACGACAGAATCTGAAAGTGATACACACTCAGTAACTGCGTACGTTGTTTCGTCGGCCCGCGTAAAGGCGGACATTGATACCACATTCTAGCCGCCGCCGATGGTGGACCGGGTGGTAGCTTGCATTCTTGTTAAAAGGACATACTACTACTTTCAACTTCTTTGGCCTAGGAACTATCTGAGTGATCGTCAACCAATAGTGGTCTTTCCAAACCTAAATTCAAAACTAAGACGAATTGAGTAAAGTGTTTCGCTGGGTAGTATCTTCTCATCGGTTTTAATTACTATGCAGATACTCCTACAACCTCCTAAAGCAGCTTGGGCAATGACATTGATGAATTATTTTTAGGGCAAACAGCTATCTGTCCCCCCTCTCCCGTTTCTGTGCTGCAAGGAGCTTGGCTCTCTCACCAATCAGCAGCCAGAATGACATGGAGCACCAAGGTTGACAAGTCACGAATTCTGGCCGTAATCAACCTAAACATTTGCAACTTCACGTTAGAAGTCCTGGTCTTATTCTCGGCGCACACAATCGCGGCCACCAAAAAAGAAGACACAACCGCGATCCCTAAGTCGCTTACCGGCGACATTTCGGGCAAAGATAAATGCTGCTGGCCGATTCGTTATCATCTAGTGCCCTTGCATGTGTGCATATGTACGCCTGGGACAAGTAGAACGCAGTGACTGTGACTTCAGACCTAGCCGAATGCCGCAATACGGACAGCGAAAGCCAGCCGGTGGCAGCAGAGCACCTGCTCCATAGCGAGGAGCAGATGCTACTTGCTGCAGAGAGCAACAACATGCTTTTCAATTCATTTCTGTTGCGATGCTATAGTGAGACCAAGCTTATTGGCTACAAGTGAAGCAGGACAACCATGATAACGTAGTTACGTAAAACGAGTTGCCTGCAACGATAGGAGATATAGGGTTCGATCAAGGATCTTATCTAAAAGATCCACCCACTAGAGCTGCAATTTTATCGATGTCAGTATCGATATATCGAGCATATGGTTGTTTTTTAGCCGACATCGATTTTTTCGATATCGAGTATGGCATCTGCATTTTCTCATCACTTATTTTAGCGCAAAACATCATCAGTAACTAAAATTTTGGTAAGCCGTTTTGTGGCCAAGTTCGATGTCGCTAAAAAATTCCGTTTATCAAGGATTTTTTTCTGACGGTTTTGTGCATTTTCTAACATACATACATATGTACATAATTTGTATGGAAGAAAAATCCGAAATCAACGAAATTTTTTAGCGACTTCGAACTTGTGCTCTATTATATTAAAATTTAATAGGCTACAAATCTACATACCAAAATTTTTTCTAGCATATAGATGCATTTCTGCATTAAAACTAAAATTTTTAAAAATATCTCGATTAAGTCTTTTTGGCGGTTAAGGCTTGATATGATAAAATTTTCTGTTGGTAAATGGTTCTATGCATTTGTTGAATGAGTATATATTATTTAAGTGTTTCATTTAGAATAAAAAAATTTACGATATGTACATCGATGTATCGATCTTGAATATCGAAAGTATCGAGTACGACAAAGATCGATACTTTTGCAGCTCTACCATCCATCGACTATGACCTTTTCAGAAACGTTTTTTAACTCCACACCGTGATCTAGAAGGGACAAGAGCGGTCTGAGCGCGAGGTCATGTGGCATGATTAAGCTCAAATTACAAACATCAAAAATTACGGAAAATTTTTATAAAATAGTGTTACATATAATAGCAAAATAATGCTGTGATTTTTACCACGGGAACATCGCAAAATTTTCGTTTCTACCAAAAAAATTCGCCTTTTGATTGCCCCTTTCTCTTTTCGTGTTATATTATAAGTTAAGGCAAACTGTGAGAAAATATTGTGAGAGTATTGTAAGGCAGACGGTTGCTCTGAAAATCAGATGGTTGCTTTAAACGGCAATATTTATTATGAAATGCGTGGGCTAGACAATAAATGAAGGCAAAAACATCCCATTTTACAGGGTTGCATGTAGCATCAAACACCGTAGAAAGGCTCAATTTTTCGGAAGAAACGAAATCACCAACAGTCTTTTGCAGCGGTCTTCCTATTTACCGGCGGGGTCAAGCCGACCACATGATGATCGATATATGATGATCTGTACGACTGTCTTCCGATAAAGATTTTTACATATTCTTCACGAATCAATGATCGGAGCTGAACTAAATTTGACCACCGTTGACATACCGCATTTCTGATAAAAAAAAAGAATTATCGAAAACGGTTACCGTGGTCAAAAGTTCTCCGGTAACATCCATAAAAATAATATTCCGACGAACACCTCCCCCTTTTTCAAAGTCGGTTAAATTAGTTCTAAAGGAATTCTCTTTCATGAACCATAAGAAGCACTGTTGAAATAACAAACTGTAATTAAAAATATATATGTATATATTGTCGAGCCCTAACCGTCAAAAATACGTAAGCGACATTTTTTTCAAAATTTTCTTTATGATGCAGAAATATTCCTAGAGCATCTACATGCACGTCTTTTTGGCGGTTAGGGATAGGTGTACACATTTTAAACTACGACTCACATGTAGTTTCGGCATTTTAGGGTTACAAAAGTAGAGTGTATTAGTTTTTTACATCGGACAAAACTTGTTCACAACTTCGTTTCTTCGCTTCCTCACTTTCACATACAATTGTACATACAATAATTTCCTCAATTAGTTAATTACTCAAGAAAATGCACTCGAGTTAATAAAATGTACTTATGTTTTCTTTTAGTTAATTTAATTTCAATTGTTTTCTTTACGTATTGCGTTTTATCAATTAATTTTTCAGTTTTTGTAATCAACTGCAATTCCGGTCATCATCGTCACGTCAGCAGAAGCTACTACACGATAAGCGAACGCACCAACGACCACCAACAGACAATAAGACCGTTGAAATCGAATGTTTGATTATAAATAAACACACGAATTGCACCCATTCAGCGCCACTGACATCGACATAAGCAGCAACAACAGCGGCAACATCATAAACTATACTGCCGCATCGTTCAGGCCCCAAAATTGAATAAGGCGAACATCAAATTTTTGCAAGTGGATGAAGATAGTTGCACGCAAGCAGGGGCAAGCCGGCGGAAAATCAAACTGGCAGACAGCTGAGTGAGCGCGGCATCCACTACCGCTCGGAGAAACATTGGTTTTTAGGCAATGCGCCTTAGAAGCCCCTCTTGTAGGAGCGATCAAATAAATACTATTCCCACATACATATGTATGTATGTACATATGATGTGTTTATACCCTGCGGTAAAACGCGCTTGTTCAGAACTAGCGCAGAACAAAGGTTGGAAATAAAAAAAATGTTGCCTTATTTGCCATTGCTTATTTTTACCTTTTGTAACAAAAAGAGTTGCCACGGCATGGAACAAACAAAAGTTGCCGTTCCTGTTCGCAACATATGTACAGAGAATATCGTTTTGAGTTTTATCTTCAGTTAAAATTCCTGCATTATCGTCACTTGCTTCACTATATCTGAACCTTGATTCAATAACACAAGGTTGGATAACCTGGCAGTTGTCTCGCTCCCGCATTCTGCCTTAGCCTGTGTTGCTTTCTTTTTTGATTTATAGAAACTACTACTTAAAGACAAGGAGAAATATTGTCTTCGTATAAATGGTTCAACAGGCAACACTGCCGTTAGTTTCATCGATTGTTTCGAGGAAATTGATTTTCTTATTGCGCAAACTCAAGTAACCATGCCAAAAAAATCAAAAATAATGGAGCTATTTTGAATTAAAGAAATAATTTACATATTTCTTTGCAGAGTATCAGAGTTATTCAAAAACCTGCGTTTTACAGCAAGTGCAGCCGTTACCAATAAGTTTTGCGTGCTAGGATCTCTGTGTGTCCGTCCACATTTGGCGGGTGCAGTCCACTGGGAATTACAGCTGCACCGATTTATTTGGTGAAGTGCAGCCATAACATACTTACAAGTAAGTATACCACCTCATAAAAGTGAAAGTGTAAATATCAATAAAGCTTTTATCTTGTGCAGGTCAGGATCACTTTGTGTGTCCGTTCACCAAATGTAATTCAATTTAAGATAATGAACATGTAATTTTTAAATGCAACAAATATAATAATTTTTTGAAAAGATTAATTTATATACATTGTATCAATTTCATCTTTACTAGTTGTATATTTCTTCATATCGCACACCGTCTTCAAAAGAGTCACAACTCAAAATAATACGTTTGTCAGAAAATGCGAAAAACTATTTCTTAGCACATGATAATCATATGGGCTGGGCGACTTTACCTTAGGTTTTTTTTTACAAATTATAACAAAAATTTGATCCAGCTTTTGCTGAAAGATAAATAAAAACTCTGTGTATATTTTTAGCGCATAATCTCAAAAATGCCAAATTTGGAGTTGTGACTCTTTTGAAGACGGTGTGCAATATAGTCCCTTTGAATAAAGGATTTGTTTGAATTCCATTAATTTTATTTAATATATACTGGAGTTTTAATGAAACCATGGTTTGTTTTGAATATTTGGGAATATTTGTCGATAAGATTTTTCTTTGGTCAGAATTTTATGTGAATAAAATTCTCTCATTCTGCATTTATTTCATTTTTAATATCTATATAGCATGTTTAATACACCATAAAAAGTTTATTCATTGTCTATTGTGTAGATCAATGGAATCTGCTTCAATATTTTAATGCAATATAATATACAAAAAAACGCATTTTAGCACTACCAGACTACTTTTCCTACTACCTTTTCGCAAAAGGGGATAAAATGGTTACCCGCTTTCTCTTCCTTCTCAAATGCAACCTTACAAGGCAGTCGATGGACACAAATGTCAATATTTATCCAACCTTGTATTATTGAATCATGATCCGAACTGTGGCTTTCGTTTACGAAGACGCACCGAACATGTGCTATGAAATAGTGATGTAAAAATATGTCAAAATTTACCTACTCTCAGATTTCTAAATTTGAACGTATACTCGCTACAAGCAGGTGGGATGACTGGCGCAATAAACAGGAGAATTAATAAAACAGCTTTCTCGCTTTATTTTCTGACGTTCGGCTGCCTTATAAAGGGTGAACACACCAAAACTGCGACACTTTGGGAAGCTTATAACTTACCCAAAACGAATTCAATATTTTGAAATTCAAATACCATAAGCTGACCACGTGACCTTAGTTGGACGTAGAAGAAATTTCATTTGAATTTGATTCCTAGTTGAGTTAAAAATGGCAACCGAGTTAGAAACGAGACACACCATTTTGCACGAGTTTATAAATGATCCGGCCGTACACGTAAAATTGCTAAAAAATTAAAGATTGCACTATTCGACAGTTTGAAGGGTTTTCATCGGTACAAATAAGGCCTGGCAGTTACGAGACAACCAGGGAGCGGGAGCGAGATTTTGTCGCGTTGTGTTGCAAAATCCGTACGCAGATCGCAGTTTTTCGTACAAAAGGTAAAGCGGAAAGCTTCATTGAGATGTTCTACAGCTCAAACAGCGCCAGACCGAGTCGCAAAGTAGAATGTTACAGCGAAATCCCGCATTCGGAAGTTGTATGAATTCAAAATTAAAAAATACAACTGCATTGTTATGGACTACGAAACCTACTGCTATAAAAATTCAAAATATATTGCAGGTCAAGATTTTTATACTGCTGCAAGTCGTCAAGATGCCCCTGAAAGTTGTAAGCTGAAAATGAAGTCCAAATTTCCAAAAAACCACATGGTTTGGCAAGCTATTTGATCCTGTGGAATGATGAATGATCAAGTTTATCGGGATGAGTGCCTCAAAAGGCGTCTTCTGTCATTTATCAACAGATAAGGAGTAGGCCACTGTTCTAGGCGGACGTGGGAACCTGCCACTATGCCAAGGACACATTGCCGTGGTATAATGCAAATAACATAAATTTTGTACCTCACGACTGCAATCCACCCAATAGCCCAGAGCCACGTCCTATTGGGGAATATTGGTCAATTGTCAAAGAAATCTTGCAGAAAACAGGTGAAACAGTGAAAAATATTGAAGAGTGCAAAACAAAGTAGTTGTGCGCATCGCGTAAAGTCGATGATGCAGTCGTGCAGAACATGATGGCGCGTGTGTGTGAAAATACCGATCACTTGCAGATGGAGCAAATAATAACTAATATTTTAACATATTAATAACATTTAAACTTCCAAGTTATATAATACAAAAAATAATAATTTCAAAGCCTGCTAGTTTGTTTCTGGTAGTAATTTCTAAGTGTCGCAGTTTTGGTGTGTTCACCCTTTAGTCACATTTTAAAGGCAAATTTTCAAATAAGGCAGTGTCAAAACCTTTCTTCTCACTATAATATTACTTCACCTGGTATAATTCCACCTTGGGTGGGGTGCTTGCAATAATACCATACACAATAAATCCCATTACTGTGACATTAAAAAGCAGTTTCAGAAGTGAACTAGTGTCATTTTATTATTACTATTTTTTCTACGCGGTTATATTGCCACCAGTGCATAATTGCGAAAGGAGGAGAGGGGGCGGGGGACGCGAGAGCGGCGCGGGGCGGCGCGCGAATGCAGACAGCCGCGACGCCGTTTGTGTCATTTCACCCCCTCTCTTTTTACATGGCGATGTCTTACGAAATGGAAATTACCCCCAATAAACCCCAGCTTGTTTCGTCGTGTAGTATGAATTATGATAAAGTCCTTGATAAGGATTTGGTTTAATTTGTCGGAATCGGTTAAAATCCGGTTACAGCGCCTTTCGAGAAGGTGAACTTGTACAATTAAATAATATAATTAACTGATAAATATTTGAACTATATTACGATATGCTTAAGGTACTTTTATGTTTCAAGTTGCATGTACGTATTTCCAAATCATTTTGAAAAAAATTTCCTTTATTTTACGTTGGTTAATATAGTCACCATAAGTCTACTGGCATATCTAAGACAAAGGACGGGAATGGTTTCTGTCAAAGGCCATCCAGGTTGTTAGGGGAATCATGTTCGTCGTGCATTTGTCTAAAAAAAAAAATGACCGTAAATACCTTCCTCTTGATGAAAATGCTCGAAAATAAATTTTTAATTCATTCTTGGAGATGTCGTGGGATCAGACGAAATAATACGTTTGCGGCATATATGTAATACTTCTATATTGGCAGTAAGAGGTAGTACTGTCCGAAAACATCACAGTACAGATATATCAATAAAGAAAAGAAACACATATCTTTATAGATACCCTGCAGTGTAAAGCTGAACCAGTATGCACAAATTCCAGTTCATGAATTATTATTTAAGGATAAAAGTCATACCAGTTCGTTATGAACTATAATTATACCAGTTCCTCGTAGAAAAAAGTAAACTACTAGTTGGTAGAAATTCTAGGGGGAGTCATACCAGTTCGTCATGGACTATAATTATACCAGTTCTCCACAGTGAAATTCCAAACGAGCAAGTATAAATACTAGTTCATTAACTAGTACGTGCTAAAGCGACGGCCTACCATTTCGGCGATTTCGAGCAATTTATGCGATCAGCGACATCTGTCTTTGAATAGCCACAACCAACACTAACAGGTCTGCTAC